TCAGATATGGTCTTAGTACCTCAAATTCAGAAACAGCCTTTTTTGTTACGGTTAAAACACTGTTCTGTTCTGACTTTTCATCTGAAGGGCATGAAGAATGGTGTGAATTTCTGAATTCTGCTATGTGTCAGGGGTCCATGCAGAATTGTAAGACATACTTTGTTTCCTGCAGACTGTAGAATCTACATGGGATACGTTACAAGTACCTTAGTGGCACAGAAAAATTTAAGAACAATTTTGTAGTGGAAGTGGTTTTGGCTTACTAGATATCCAGGAAACTCTAGGAGATATCCATATACAAATGTGTGTACGTTGGTACTGTGGTATGTTTACTTCAGCTGGCTGGCAGGTGCCCACCAAGTCACTTTCTCACTCCTCCTCCTCAGCAGGACAGGGAAGAAAAATACATAAAATTAAAATGTAAATCCCATGGGTCAAGATAAAGGTAGTTTGATTAAAAAAACCCAAAGACCATGTATGGAAGAAAAGGAGAATGAATTCTCTAACTCTGTCAACAGATGATGTCCAGTTGCTTCCCAGGAAATAGGGCCTCAATGTGTTGCTTTGCAAGACAAATGCTTTAATAACACTCTCCCACTTTCTCATCCTTTATTGCTGACCACTTCATCATGTGGTGTGGGAACTTTAGTCAGTTTGAGTAAACTAGTTTTGCCCCCTCGTGCTGTCTTGCTCACTCCCAGCCTACCAGCAGTTGAGGGTGGGGGTATGGGGTGGGAGAGAGCTTCAATCCTGTGAGAACACAGCTCAACAGTGCCCACAAAACCTGGTGTGTTACCAGCACTTTTCTAGCTACCAATGCAAAGTACAGCACTATGAAGGCTGCTGTGGGGAAAGTTAAGCCAATCTCAGCCAGATCCAATACATCTATATGTAAGAAAATTTCTATACTTAAATCCTGTTGAAGAAGAATGTTTCCTATAGCATCTGGAGAAAGAGGGAAGGAGAGAGGGATAGGGAAAGGCATTCCATTACAAGAGGCACTTGGCTGAAACATTGCAAAGAATGAGTCAGAAAGAGCTCCCACTCATTTGGCTGCCTCCCAAGTGGGAAAAGTAAGTTGTTTAATTTTTGCAAGAAGGGATTATCTAAATGAGCAGTAACTGCAACAGTCTTGATAGATTTCTTCTCTTCCCAAGAATTTTTTGCTACTACTACTTTGTTCTAGTAATCCAGATGAGCTATTCTGAAATTGTGGCAAACTGTTAGGCATCCTACAGCCTTCATGGAGTAGAGAACACTTGGACTTGCTTTCTTCCAATAGTGCTTAGAGCAGATATACTTTTTTCTCCCCAAAATATGTGTGTACATTCAGGGCTCAGTGTAATATGAGAATTTCTGGAGGACAACATCAGTCCTCTCAGAGACTGAATGAGGGAATTCCAGCAGTAATTTCTGTCATGAGAGAAGGGAGATTTCTAGGAACAAGCTTTCCCTTGCTTCATAGGGAGTATGCAATCCTGAGCTGATGCTGACTCAACAGTAACAGGGTGCGAGAAATTGCAGATGCAGCAGCTGTAATTGCTTGAGGAGAACTCCTTGCATATCTATGAATGATAAAAATTGAAACTCACATGCCAGTGGCAATTCTGAATAAATTACTCAGTAAACTGATTAGATTGTATGTGAGTAAATTATAATGGGCAGGCAGTAACTGAAAATTCTCAACAGATACAAACTTTGCTATTAATCTCCTTTTCAAAACATAGGTTGAAATATTGTTAATATATTTTAATAAGGTATTCAAAGAACAACACTGTCTTTTTTTTTTTCTTGCTTCTGTCTGCTCCTAGGAAACCCCTTGCTGTGTAAATACAATTACACTATGCTTACCTATCACAAGAACTTTTGCACGTGGTTCTTTTTTTCTTAATATAGTTTCCTGAGATGTTAGCTCTCCAGACATGGAAAACAATCTTGAGCAGTATTGCCTTCGACAACTGCTGTCTATGTTAAATTGCTGTCTATGGGTGTGTTTTGTTCTCAGTAAGGACTAACAGAGCACTTCCATAATACAAAAGAGGTCATGACCCAGAGATAGTCACAACACCTGTTAATAATGTGCATGGACTCCTGGGACCACAGGGGACTCAGCTTTTTCCAGGATGCAGGCCCTACGTGCCTTTATATAGGAATATTGAGGTAGAAGAAGAAGCTTTTAGATATACTGGAGATAAGCTGCTTGATACCAGTACTGGTTACTGATTATTTTCCTAGGGTGATATAGGACTGGCAGCAGTATTTAAATTTGTAGTACCACAAAAATCACATAATCTATTGTCACTTTTAATGGGTTTCAAGTATTAGTGCTTATTGTTTATTGAGCATCATGGATTTTCTTCTTCAAATTTGTGTACAGAGATACTTTGTGAAGGAGGGGAGAGGCAAGAGACTCCTTTTTTTAACTGAGAGTTTGTGAAAAGTCCTACCTCCAAATCTGTGAGAGACAAAGAAGGCGGTTTCTTGGCACTGTCATACTAGACCTCCTTGGAGTGAAAGTCTCCACCAAACAGCTTTGAAGCTGCTAGTATTTAAAGTGACATTCTTAACCTTCCAGAAATGTCAGATAAAGATATGTTCACAGAAAGCTTTGGTGGTGCCAGACAGTCAGCAGGCAGATCTGTGTTTTTAAGTAAAAATCTGTCCCCCACAGATTTGCTGGGGACATGAAGACCTCTTGATTCTGTAGGTATGTAATTATTGGGAAATATACCTTGTGATGCTTCCCTTTGTTGTCTTGAGACATTTATGGATTTTTTAGTTGTGTGTGATAAGCTGAGGGTTATCAGTGGTACACCACCAAATTTAAGAGCTGATTGCTTTTCAGCAAAGCCTAAGAACTGTCACATATTTTGAGGTTTCATGCAAAAATTGACAGCCTTCTAGAGGAGGGAAAGATGTCTGAATGCCTGATTTGACACTATTAACTATTAAGTCAGAGTCTACCAATGTAGACAAATTATTTTGTGTTTTACTAGTATCAGAATTTAGTGCTCCCTGACACCTTGAGAACCCAGAACACTGTGCAGGCATCTGATGATACCTCTTCAGAACTTCTCCAACATCCAGTGATCTCAAACCTGGGATATCCTGAAAAGTTTGGGGTGAGATATTTTCTTAATAAAATAGCCTCCACTACTTTTCTTCCATTATTTTCTTAATTTTTTTTTTTTTTTTTTTTTTTTTACAATTTATTTTTTTTTTTTTTTTTTTTTTTTTTTTTGCTTAAGCACAATTTTAGAGTCTACAGCAATCACTGTCTGAAAACTCACCTACACATTCTATGCAGAAGTACCCCATATTGGCATTTTGAAGACACCACGTGGGGAGTTCCCTTGCCTTTGATCCACCAGAAAAAGGGTGACTGTGACAGTTCAGAATCAAGTTTTTAGTTTCATAACCCAAAAGACTAGTTAGCAAACTACTCATGTTTTTAACAGCTGCTGAGATGTCTTGAAAGTGAACTTTTGTTCATCAGCATGAAATTTATTTGTGTAAATGGAATGAACAAAACCATGCAATTTTAAGTTTCTTTTCTTACAAAAGAAAGCTGTACATTTGCACTGTGCATAAATCACTCAACTCTCCTTAGCAATTTTTGCCCCTGTTGGCCTATATCAACTTCTTTGTCTGAGTTGAAGCATTTCTAAAGCAGATTAAATATTTACCAAAAAAAAAAAAAAATCAATATTTTGATAAAGTCCAAGGTTCGTAACTCATTTGAGGAGAAATTATCAGTATAAACTCAATATGGATTTAGCCTGTCTGGCCTGCTATTAGTCCCCCAGCACCCAGACAGGCCAGCTTGCCTGCCAGTCAGCACATCAGGGCAATTTTAAGTCAATGACAGCATTTGGTGATGTGCCTCGATGTTGAATAGGAGAACTGGGGAGGAACAAAAGGTACTGTGGAAGTCCTTATTAGGAAATACTACTGATGGAAAAGGGAAGAACTAGAAACTATGGTAATGCAGCTCAGAGGGCATGAGAAGACCAACTGAGATTACTGCTAGGGGATACAAGAAGTTAAAATGTAAAGAATATGACAGAAATCAATGAAAAGTAAGGCTTCATTAGTTTTGTTTCTAAGGAAATAACTTCCTTACTATCGAGTATACATTTTTGACTACAAATCAAATATTTGCAAACTACAAACAAAATATTTGCAAAAATCATTCAGCAAGTATTTCATAAAAATGTAATAATCTCTCAATTTTCTAATAAGTTTACTCTTACTGAAATATTTTAGTTCATTTTCTCAGATTCTGAATGGAAGAGAAAAACTGCACAGAGAAAAAAATGTAACTGCATAGTTACATTTCCCTTGCTATGAGGTATGAGTCACTTCCATGTGCAAGATATGTTTTTTTATGTGAATGCTACATAGTAGAAACAAACTGTATGTGTTTTAATGGGTTAAGAAAAAAAAAAAGTTAAAGCAGATGACTGGCCAAGTTTAACACTCATCATTTTCCCTTAAAATTGGTTTTCTGCCATAATATTGTCTGTGAATTTCCTGATTTCTCAGTTGATAAGAAAACATGACTTTGAAGAAAAAGTATAAATTAGTTCTTATTTTTGTTAAATTTCATGGCTCTTTATTTTTTACAGGCCATATTACAAAGCCGGGCACTCAGAATTAGCGTGGCCTAAAACGTAAAAGGAAAACAATTCACTCTGTAACAGAGCAGAACTAAAGAACTTGACAGAAGGCTGTGCAACCAGCACCAGATATACTCCCACCAGAGCTGGGATTATTATCTGTACAAGCTGAGGTCACCATCTTTCTTTTCACAAAATAAACAAAAAAAACCAAACCCCAACGACAAACATTTAATTAAAAACCAACCAAACAAACAAGAAAACCCAAACAAAAAACCAATAAAAACAACACGAAAAACCCAAACCAGAACCACAGAAAACTTTTTGCCAGAGAACAGATTCAAAAACCAGAAGAAACATTTGAAATGTCTGACAAGTTACCAGTGCAATTCTTCTGGAAGTTGGGATTCTCTAGTGGGTGCCCTGGAATGCGGCACTGAAATCTGTGCTGCCAGAACTCGGGAAACCAGGGGTTGCGGGTGTTGGTGTCCAGCCGCAGCTTCAGGTAGTAGTCATCGAACGCCAGCACCTCGGGAGACTGCAGCTTGATAGTAATGCCTCCATTTGCTTCGGGCTCATAGCCTTCAATGACCTCATCTCTGTCTGCCCAGCCATCACTGAAAAGAGGCAAAAAACCGCTTATTACACAAAGACAGAAAGCTGGTTTTGGAAAAGCAACCAGCCAAAGGCAGGCTGGCACCGATGGAAAGAAGTGATTAATGGGGAATCTAAAGATGTAAAATACAGGCAGAGAAAGCAGAGTGATAGCGACTTGAAATGAGCAGTCTGACTGATTGTGTGCAGAGTCCTCATTAACTCATCCAGAATAATGAGGTTTTATCCTTGTCCTTCTGGAAAGGTTATTTAGACAGAGCTTGTGCTGTGATATCCCTGTGACTGAAGAGATTTTGCTTAATTTCTGCTGTCCTGTAAGAGTTGGAAGCCAAGAAAATTATTGTTGTTGAATAGGAAAACAAGCCAGGATCCTGGATTTTTTTCAAAATAGACTTCAGCCTGCATGGATCATACAGCTAGAAGAGAAATTCAAATCAAACATGTGAGAATTGCATTCTGTTGGAAGAGAACAGAGTGAGACCAGTTGATCCAACTTAAAAGAAAACCACATGCTATTCTCCCACTGCATGGGATTTGTAATAACATGCTTTTTGCCCCTCACATCCTTTTTTTTTTTTTTTAATTAAGAAAGAATGGCTTTCTACTTTACTTCCCTGTTTGTTCATATGTGAGATGCTTTTGAAAACTGAAGATAAAGCTCTTTCTTGACAACATTATTTCATGGAAAGTCTATCTTAAGACAGTTGAATAAAGTCCATTGGGCTTAGCAACTGAGCTTTTAGTTTAGTTCTTTGTTTTTTTTCTCTCCTTTAGGAGTCCATTGATTTAGTGTCATTCTCCAGTTCTTATTAGCATCCCCTAAGAAAGGTGCTTTTACTGTCTAATTTAAGTGCAAATATAAGTCAGCCATTGCTTGATCTTAAAATGCTGGGCATGTAATGAGAGAAATAGATTATTCTGGCACCTCAGCTATAGGCTTATTACACATAGAATCAAATCAGCTGCACTGCTTCTGTGAATAGCAGACAGACGAAGCACTTCCAGCAGCAAAGAGCCCAAGAGGAAAATTCAATTCACCACTGAGAGAAGTCTCCGATTCACCCAAAAGAGGGTTGCATCTTGAATTCCAGACAGACTGAAAGAAGGTCCTCGTTAGAAGCCTTTTACACACAGCCTTGACAGGAGTATTGTGGCACAGACCATTACCAGCTGAGGGCATTTATGAGACATTCAGCACAAGTGTGCCTGGGTCTCCACAAAAGAAAATATAGATGATTTGAAGTAACAAGCTCTGTCACAGTCCTGATCAAACAGCTGTAAAGTGACTATGTACTGGGCATGTGTGATCTTTTGATCCTCAGCCACCAGACTGAACAGCTGCATGGTTTAGTTGGCATTCACATTAACTGCTTCATCTCTGCTCTAAGCACCCAGAAAGAAAATGAAAGTTTTCCATGAAAATACAGGAAAACCCATGTAGTAAATTCTTTCCACATCTGAAATACAACACATTCCTTTATTATGGGAGTTGAGACATGGGGCATCTGGCAGTGCAGAGTAATCAATACATTCCTTTCAACCTAGGCTCAGGATCTTACAAAACACGATTTTAAGATAGCACTCCACGGCACCTTCAAGGTAGGATTTCTTCTCTGCTTCTCCCTTTACCAAGGCCTTGCAGTAGAACCACTGAAATTTCTGAGTTTACAAACTGCTGACAAGTATCTTCATAAAGCATGAGATAAATGTGTGTGCCCGTTGCATTTCAAATGAAGTATGAATGCAAAGAGCTGGGGGAGATGCAGGGTGTAGGTCACAGGAGTAAGACAGATTTTGGTAGTTTCTCTCTCTCTGTCAAGTTGACCCTGGCAGAAGCTGCTGGTAACTTCTTCTCAACAGCCCGGGGTGCAGGTTACTCAGTGTCTTGTACCAACACAGCCCAAGGGATACACACCTGGCTCAGTTTTGGCCTGACAGCAGCACTTGAATTGCCTCAGGGGTGCATAGAGTTAAAAACCAACAATTTGTCCATCCCTGCCCCAGCAGACTACCTGAAATTCTGGAGAGGGAAAGATGCCATGGTTCAACATCTTTGCATCCCCCCACTCTTTACTTGTCCATATGCTGAAGACAAATAAAATGTACCATGCTCCCCTGACTACTTCATGACTGACTGTGATCTAGATAATCCTGATCTAGATACCCTATACAAAGGTAAACCCATGAAAATTAATTTTGTGGATTTCACCTAATTCAAGATGGAAATTTTTACTAGAGAGGAGAAAAAGACACAATATTTACTTTTTCTTATGTGGGGGAAAAGTAAGAAAGAGATCACTCTTACAGCATGAGTAATTAACTCCTAATTGCATAATTACCTCATTATTTGTCACAATGTTTTTGTCTTTTAAATGGTAGACTCAAGCAGAAACATTAGCAAGACACAAAAATTAAGTAAATTGAGCCATTTTTTACAAGACCTTGTTGAAATGAGGTAGTTTCACTACTGCTTGGACTCCTACCAGCCAAAAAATAGCTATTTATTTTTCCTCTCCCCTTCCCCAATATGTTTAGCTTGGAAAATGGCCACATAAACTCTGAAGGCAAAATAGAGCAAATATGTAACACAAGAGAAAATCTATTTTGAGTTCTCTGAGGGCAATTAATTGAAAAGTTCCCCTAAACTGGAACACAGATCGTTACCTAATGTTTCTTTGTCTCTTTTTGCCCAAATATTTTTTTATTCTCTGCAACTTCTTCAAATTGTTAAATCTGTCTGATAAGTTTTACCTTCAGCAAAATGTGAAGAAAAAGCTCTGGAATCAGAGAAAAAAAGTTTCATAGGTATTGAAGCTCATATGGGAGCTTTGCTCTACTTTCAGTAAAGTCAAGGAAGCAAAGAGGAGTCCTCTGGTGTCTCAGGGATCTGTGCCATCCTGGCAGCTGCACACTGACTGAGCTGAAATTTGCCCTGAGTGGGATGTGCAGCCCTACCTGCAGCTGTGGGAGGATTATTAGAGACCCAAGATCCTGTTACAACATCTTTCTGGGTTCCTTTTTGCTGCTTATATACATGCCAAAAAAAGATTCTCAGAAAGGACTACACCCCTGGTGCCATATGAATAAATGGATAGTGGTCCAGAAGATGGTGGGTGAAAAAAAATGACATTTTTATTGCTGGGTAACTGCATGATCCTGATGGTCAGATGACAGTGTGTCAGTGACAGAATCACAAGACCAATAGCTGAGTCAACATAAAAATGAAATTTCACTTTAAATAGGAAGCACATACTATCCTTTTGTTGTTGGAACTAGTACATTCCACCTACTATCCTCCTTTCATCCTGCTGAAAAGCAAGTAGCACTACACACAGCATTTTTTGCTAGCCTGTCTTTTTGTGCCTTTGCTACAGATTTCAGGAGGTGGCCCAATATCTATTACCCACTTGCCATCCTTGGTAAGTGTCCATGCGTGTGACAAGCTAGCCTTGAAATGTGCTGAGTGTGTTGTGCAACTGTTGTTCTGAAGCTCTGTGAGGGAGTTTAAAGTGTGATGACAGAAACAGTGAGGGAGGGAAAAGCATGTGGGTGTCAAACTAGCAACCACTCTTTTTGCTCTTAGGAGAAAAAGAACAGCTTTTGTTATGGTTTTGTGGTGTTTATCACAGTCAAAATGGTCACTGATGCTCTGCAAGTTGCTCTTGGTCTAAGTCCCAGTCTGCTGACTGACATTAATAATGCCAAATCCAAATTTCAATGCTCACTCAAACAAAAAT